GTCTCAGACTCCTTGCCTCCAAGGAGCATTCTGGCTGTACTTCTTCCATGACAGCTGTTGGGCAGTCATGCTATCTCCTGGAAGGCGTGACTGGTTTCCAAAGCAGACACTGTAGTACAACTCGCTTGTTTTAACTGGGGCTGTTCGGCACATCTGACTCATCATCTGTTTCTTTGGATTCAGGCCAAACGCTGATCCTGGGAGTCGTGAACAGCTGACCATCTTCCCTGTGGACCTCGGCTTTATTCACCTCTGTAGCCAGAAAGAAGCCTGCTGTTGTCGGCTTCATCAGTTCCTGCAGCTACCTGAGTCAAGAGGAGCCTCTAGTCCCAAATCTGCCACCTCCTCTACAAACCATGGGAGACATCACCCTGCTAAACACCTGTCAGTACGTCTCTGCACCTCTTTCTCAAGAGAACCCGCCTTAGACCACAGGTGAATTTGCCATGCATTTATTTGTCAAGAGCAGGAGCACTCCTTCCGATTTTATTTCATGAAAGGGCACTGGTGCTAAAAATAAATATTTGAAACTTTGAATGCCACTCCTGTGGCGCTGAGACTTTTCAAATACAGTGCTTCAGTTCTTTAAACTACCGTTTCCTGGTGTCCACGCCACATTTCACATAAGAGAGCCTTCCCTGGGATCTCGCTGGAGCACCCTCAGGCTAGTCTCCCATGCAGGGGCCTGGCCACACAGCCAGCTTTCCTCAATGAGTCTGTTGATCCAGTGCCCAGGGACCAGCAGCACTGGAAACGAGGGTCCTGGAAAATGGCAGCATTCTCAGGTTGAGACAGAGGGGATTCAGACCCCTGGAACAGCGCACAGGCCCACCTGACTGCACATAGCCTGGACAATGGACTCCCCGTTTCACTGCCTGCCCGTGTAGACACCTAGTCTTCGTTTCAAAAGCCTTCTCTTGTTTGAGGACCAAGTTTCCACCTACTTCAAAGCTGACAGCAGATTTCTGCTATTTCTGGGTTTACGAGAGGGGTGGCATTGATGCGCTTTCTGGCCAAGGAATTCAAGACTGCCCTCAACCCGTACGTCATAGGGTGTCACCTGGACCTTTCCAGGCCTGTCTCCCAGCAGGCTTCTCTAAGCCTCTGAGCTGGACAGCTGTGCTTCCTCCCCTGGGCCAGGCAGTGAAGGGTGAGCAGAGGGTTGTATGGTGACTGTCCTGGATCAAGGACGCCCCAGACTTGAGATTTGGAGAGGGAAGTACCTGGAGATGAGAATGGCATTAACTGCTGATGGGAAGGGGGGGGGGGGGATGTTGATGGGAAGGTTCTGTGTGTGTGTGTTATGTGAGCCACAGTATCTTCTTGATCCCCACCCCAGACATGCAATCTGACTAGATGTCGACTGGCCATTACCCACGTACCTTTTCAACCCATGCTTGCGAGTCAACCTGGAAACCTTGAGGAGCACAGACAGACTCAACACAGGCCTTCCGGGCTTTCTTTGAAAGGCCTCTCCTTTTTCCTCAAGACCCGAACTTTCAGGGACTGATGGAAGACAGGGACCTGCCCTTGGTGTGGCCCCACAGGGGACTAGATCGGTGTTGGAACCCTGCTGAGTGTGGACTGCTGAGGCCATGGGAAGCCAAGCACAGAGCCACCTAACTGCTTCTTCCCCTGGGCCGTGGAAGATGGACAGTGCCTTCCTGCCTCCCTTTGCTAGGGCTGCCGCCTCGCCTCATATGAGCCCTTCCAGCACCGGTTCAGTTCCAGGTACAGCCCTGCAGCTCTGCTAACCTATGGCCATCCCTGTTCTCTTGCTGTGCCAAGAGCCGTTTTCCAAAGCTGGGCTTGACACCTGATGACCTTCCCTTCCCCACACTGCGAACTGTCGCCCCACCCCATACCACCATCCAGCTCTTGGCACAGGCCACGTGGTTCCATAGCCACCTCAGTGTGCAGCCCAGCGCCCACTCAGGGCTCTGTGACCTAGCCTTACTAAGCTACCCAGCACCGACGCTCCCTCCTCCTCTGTAAAAGTCTGCCGTCCCAATTTCAGCCGAAATAGTTGTCATGAGGTCCAACCTTGTCTATTTCCCCCATGGAGGAAAGTGAAATGTTGCTTTCAGCCATCCTTAGAAGAGGTTCCCTCTCCTCCCTTTGTCACCTAGGCCTTGGCAGGTCCAGACCCAGGTCCCAGCGCCCTCGCTCACAAGCTCCTTCCATTCACTCTCAAGCCTGCTCCCCACCGGGCCCTTTGGACACACCCAGACTCCTCCCCTTTAGCCCCTTGCCCTGGGAAGGTGTGTTTCTCCTCTCAGTGGGCTTGCTCTAGGTCCTGTGGTTCCGATGGTGAGGAGCTCCTCACAAGTAAAGCAGGGATCAGACTCACGGCTTTCAGCCGGGTGTGGACCACAGCGGAGGTTGGTTACTCTCTTAAAAGAGGGCGTAAACCAACAGCACGTTCATACTTCCACTGTTCACGTAACCAACAAAAACACCAACTTCTGGCTAGACAACTTTGCTCTGTAGTCTCCCAGACTGATCAGGAGTGCGGTGATTTCCGGCAGCAGGCGCTTAGTGGTGCAGTTCAAAATGGGAGCATCTTTACTGGGTGCCAGGGTGGAAGCAAAGAGGTGACAGGCAGTGCCCTGACTACCCAATTGACACCAGAGGGGTAGGATCTTTCTATAGCACTGCGCCACTTCTGCCTTATAACCAAGTGGTCATTGAGCAGACTCCAACTCTTGGCGGCCCTACAGGGCAGAGGGCTGCTCCCTAGTTTCCAAGGCCGTCCATCCCAGGGACGTGGACTGCCCGTCCTTTCTGTGGCGCACCGGTGGTTAACAACCTAATGCGTAACCTACTGCATTCCCAAGGCTTCTCCTGTCCACAGGTCACTGAACAGCATCCAACAGTGACAAGGACCCAATGTTCCCAGTGCATGGAGGACCTCAGCTGGTTTCCTCGTGGGACAATGGACTGCGCAGCCTCGGCTCTGGGGCTGGGCTGCTGACACACAGGCCCCAACCCCTGCCGCCCAGGTGGCTGTCCTCACTCACGACTACAAAGAGTTCAGTTCATTGACATGCTTATTTGGGAAATGTAATACAGGACTAGGCAATTTTGCATTTTCAGAGATAAAATTCCAGGCAAACTCTACATGCACAGCACTTTGTTATTTCGGGAATACAGGGAAACAAATGATTCTAAGGTGTGTTTTTTTTGCAGTTTTTTTTTTTTTTTTTTACAAGTCAGGTGCCATAAACATTCAAATGATCCATCTTTTAAAAAGCACGTTTACAACATCAAAAGAATTAAGATGAAATATAAACCTTTCTACTTACATTTTTTATACAGATTAACCAAATCACCAATACCACAAGTGTTAAATTGTAACAATATAAAGGAATAAACATTCAGATTCTTAACAAAATTTCCTTTTAACACTTTTTTTTGTTTTTTTAAACTTACCATTATACTAATCTATGCAGAGTTTGGGGTCCAATACCAAGAAGGCACCAGCATACAAAGCAATTACAAAGCAGTTTCAGACCTTTCTTGAGGGCCCTACACGGGTGAACAGCACACACAAAACAAAACAAAAACCCCAAACAAAACAAAGGCAACGAGCTTGAAGGAAACCGGTGGCAACCCTGGAGACCCTGCCGGCTCCAGTCTTCCCGACCCGAGACACAAGGAACCATTTCCATGGTTTCCTCTGCTGCTCGCTGCTCTGTGGGTGTGCCACGCGTCAGATGCCAGCCTAACCACTGTTGACAGCACGGATGTTTAAAATCTCTCCACCAGAGGATCGCTCAGGTTTTTTCAAGTCCACTATACTTACAAAAATATTTCCCTTAAACTCGAGATTGCTCCAAAACATGGGTTTACAAACACAAAAGTAGATGGAGGGACCCAAACCACACGTGCATAATTGTCGCAAATGCCCACCCACAGACTGTCACACCACGTGAAAGGGGTGGCTTAGCAACTGTGGGGACACAGAAGCACACCAACACCCACCAGGGTCTCCTGAGGGGGCTGGGTATCAGGTGGACTAGAGTGTGGGCAGTTTGCCTTAGTGGCTTGCCACAGCTGGCTTCAGGCCAACCCCGCCTACCCTAGAGACCAGCAGGGCCCTGCCGTGGGAGCTGTCCCCGTTGCCCAAGGCTCAGGGGTCCAGGGTTCCCTCCCTTGTTGGATGTTCGCTTCACATGAAGGGAACATGTTGGAATGTTTTAACTGGGGAGGTTTTGCTTCCATTTCAGATACCAAAAAAAAAAAAAGCCATTTGCCTGCCAGCATGTGAGTCCAGTGACAATGGAGGTGTGCAGTGTCCCCATGTGTCTGGATGACCCCATCTGTGTGTTCCTAGAGGTGGATGCACGTGTCCCTCACAAACAGCCACTACTTCTCATGGGCACCTGGAGCCGGGTTAATAAAAGCTCTGGTCCCAGGCTGCAGTGATCCTGGAGCACCCTTAGGTTGACAGCGAGTGCCAGGAAACGGGATGGGAGAGCTGCCCCAGCCCCCAGGTGCTAGTAGCCCAGGTGATGGCTTTCCACTTACAAGACTGCAAACGGACACCCTAACAACTGTGTGCCCCTCAGAGTACCGAGTAGTAACTGCCAAGCTCTTTTAAAGGGGAAATGGGGGTCTGAGTGTCTCAATTAACAGTCAAGCCCTCCCGGACCCTCTGCTGGGTGGCCTCTGCGGGCAGCTCGGAGCGGGGAAGCGGTAGTTGACCTGTGCCATGGCTCTCTGAACATGAACCAGGATGCCTGCTTCCACCGCGCCACGCTGCGCTTGAGCAATGGCCGAGTCAGGCAGCAGGGGAGCCTTCCTTCAAGACAACCAGGGGGACCCCTGCCTAGGGTGCTTGTGCTTCGTCCTTAGGGCCTCCGCCTCCGATGTTTCAGAAGGCAGGGACCGCCTCTGCAGGGCTAAGTGGGGAGGCCAAGGGCAGAGGTGGAAGCTGACTGCCCTTTAACACACTGCACCACAGGAAATCACCACCGAATCCTTTGTGACCAGGAAGGTAGAAGATGCATGTTTATTTCCGTGAGTTACAGAATCGCAGGCAGTCTTTATATAACCCACTCGCCACCACTATCAAAGAGCAAACAAGAAAAAGACTGCTGAGAAACGGGAAGCTAAACACAGGTTGGACTTCTCCTAAGTGACAGGATGGGCCCTGGTTTCCGTGGAACACGACGCAGAGGTAACGAGAGACGGCTGCATTTCCACCACAGGCACGTGGCACTGGGACGGTCGTCTCTGCACAGGAAGCTCTAACAGTCATGCGAGGGTACAGTGATTATTGAACAAGGCAAAGTTCTCACCAAAGAGAGCAGTGGGGGGTGGGGGTTTGGGGGGGCGCCACACCAGTGGGCGCTGAACACCAAGTCAGTTCCGCAACACGCCTGCACGGAGGAGCGGCCGCAGTGCGTGGGACTCGGTGAGCTTTGTTGGACGGTCTGGACGCAGCAGAACCGGAAATGCTGGAAGGTGCTTGACGACAACAGTGCTTCACGTCAGGTGCTCATGAAGGCTTTGTTACAAACTGTTCAGAGTGTGGCTTGGGGAACGGACTGAAGTGCTGACATGCTGTAGAAGGGGGAGAGAGTGGGAAACTTCCTCGTTGAAAGACGCAGTGGTCTGCTCGAGTCAGCAGGCAGAGAGTGCAAGGGGAGAGATGACGCGCATGGTATACCAACACTCAGAGCGGCTACAGAGTACATCTGGGCCTGGGGTCTCCCTCTCTGAAGGGTGCAAGGCCACAGGGAGCCGGTATATGCTCAGTATAGCCAGCACTTTCTTTTGTTTAGAAAGATGGGGGACTTTTTAAAAGCCAGGCCAGAAGCACAGGCTCTCTCAGGGTGTGGGGAGTGGGCTGGCGGGTGCCCCCAGTGGGCACTGAAGTGGTAGCCTATGCACGTGCACTGGTACACTCCAACATGCAGTGCCCTGGTGGGAGCCTTCCCTGGTGTGCAGCAGAACCAGAGCGGAGCTAGACGCCACCTCCCTGGGAGAGTGAGAGAGAGGTCAGTGGGCGGGATGGGGCGGCCTGAGGAACCACAGCATCTTTCAAACCAGAAAGTGATTAGTGACGAAAGCAACGGTAAGCAGTCAGTGCACTGAGCCCACACTGCCACAGGTCACTGGTGGTGACAAACACAGGGGCCGGGGTAATTCTCTGGACTGAGGAATTCTCTGAAAGCATAAAAGCCACAACTACCAGAAACCACCCCTCTGAACGGCTCAAAGGAGTCAAGGTGGGTAAGCCGAGACAGGCTGGGCGAAGAAGTGGGAAGAACACCAACACCTAGGATGTCCTATCCGCAGAGCCCTTGTCCTGTTGAGAGACGAGAGAAGACACAGGTGAAGTGCTTTACACCATCGGAGTCAGGCCAAAGCCAAGGGAGGGCAAAAGTGCCACAGGTTTCAGCTCTGCCCTCGCCTCACAGGGGTCAGGCTCAGAGGTGGTTCCTCTAGCACTCACCACACCCACACTCATACACACTCCTTCTCTCTCTCAACACAATCCCTGATAGCGGGATACCCTCAAGGTTCCCCAGATGACTTTATGAACTGTATGGATGTCCACCGAAGCCTGTGGCCAACACATGTCTGAGGGGCCTGTAAACTCATACAGAAACACTGTCTGCCTCTTCCTAGCCCATCCCCTTTCTCCCTGGAGGGCCAGGGGCCTGCTGCCCACCGTAATCCAGCTCTCTCCGTGGAACAGTAAGTGAGCGGCCAAACAAAGGTCTGCTGCATGAAAGCCAGAGGGGAGCTCTGGGAGGGCAGGCACCCCAGTAGGGTCTTGGGGGCAGGTGCCGGCCCGACAGCAGCTTGCACTTGCTTTCTACAGCTGGCCCACTGGTCCTCTACGCCGCCATGCAGCTGCAGGGCTGTGGAACCCATTTTCATCCAGAAAGACGGTATCCCATGCCAAGGTCAGTGCCCCTTAGGCTGGGTCAGTATCGGAGCAGGCAGGGAACAGGCCAGCACCAGGTGATGGCTCCCTCACCTAACCTGCCCTGGAGTGCTGCCCCGCTCTGGGAGAATCGAAAAGACAAGCCTTTAGATTATGACTCTGATGAGGACGGTTGGCTGTGACAGGCTGGCTGGGTGACCGGCGTGGAATGTTCATGGGCAAATGCCATGCTGTCAGGCTGCTAAGCACCCAGACCCCTCAGAAAAGGGGTCCTGGTCTTGAGGTGGGCTGTGGAGGGGAAGGGCTCCCCGCCTTCCCAAGGTCAGCTGGCAGGGAATGGAAACTTCCCTGAGCTTTATCAGTGAAGAAGAAGCAAGGCACAGACTAAATTGCCCAAGGGAATTCACAGAGAGGCAGAGGGGGAAGTGGGGGCCCTGGCAGGAAGATCTAGGAGCCCTCTATGTCACAATAAGACCGACAGCAGAGGATCAACAGTGTCTAACGTTACCCTGGAAATGCTTCTAGAAGGGGTCCCCCTCAGATCGTGCAGGCTGATCAGTATCCAGTCTCCAAGATCCCCCACCCCCATGTGACGGAGTGGTTTCCAGATCTTTCCCTCTGCAACTCACCTTGGACGGGCCGTATGTAACCAACTGCCCAGGAGAGCCCTCAAGAAAGTCCTGGTGACTGGCCTTTTCCTCTGGCCACTGTGAGCTATATCCCCATGTTTGCAACTGTTCTGGGGGCTGGGGCTGGGTGGGAGGGGAAGGGGACCTGTTTGCTTTCACCTGTGTGGTAGCTGGGAACCCAGTAGAAATGTTCTGTATGCTTGTGAATGAGTTCTGTCAGTCTTCCCAGAACTAGAGCGTCTCATATTGATGACTAAATGACAGCAGCCAGCCTGTGTGCTGACAACTTATTCTGAAATGTAAGAGTAAGTAAGGACAGAAGCAGCACTGTGGACTGCTAGGTAGACTAGAGAGGAGAGTACATGGTGGTCAGAGCATGAGTGGCTGGCTCAGAGGAGCTGGGAAGGCATTACTGAAAGGATGCCGGGAACCTGTCCAAAGGCTCACACTGAGCACTGGCCCCTGAAGGGAGGAGTCTCATCTCTCCACTGCGTTGATCTCCCACCTGGAGTCTTGGAAGGGGTTTTGATCCCTGCCTGCTGACACTGATTCCAGGGGCCACCTCAAGGGTGACCCCTTTGTGATGTGCTGTCTAATGCCTTCCAGTGGCCCCTGACCTCAGAGGTTCCCTCCCCCATTTGAAGTGCCATATGAGCCCCCAGATGCGACACAAAGCCTGGGTTCCCCATGACTGTGCGCCACCACACCCCATCAGCAAATAGCTACTTACTCTCAAGATTTGAATGCAAATTGCCACTGCTTCCTTCAGACCTGGCCAGCACTTGGGAATCCTTGACCCTTAAATTCAAGCTAGGCCCTTCTTCCCTAGGAGCACGCTTACCCACGTCTGGCCCAGTTCCTGGGATCCCGCAACACACCCCTCCCAGATTTCCCATTTCTCGCTATTGAGCTGCTAGAAAGTTAAGGCAGGTCTACTCAAGGTTGCCACCTGCATCCCAGGTATTAAGTGCTCAGTGCAGTGTAACTGGAGGGTGAAAACCAGACCCATGAGTGCTGTTCTGTCTGTGGATCTGCCTCTGGCAACTGGGCTGGCAGCACATTCCCACCCTTCCTTTGTTCTTAGCAACAGGGGGCAGAAGCCTGCAGACCCAGCTGGCCCTTAATGAAGTGCTGGTAGGAACAGGCAGGTTTCCTTTTGTTTCTGCTTCTGAGACACTTTGCAGGATGGTCTGAGATGCACCTGGCAGGGGTGGCAGCAGAGGCCACTAGGTGAGGGGCAGTAGAAACCCCCCCTGGATGCCCCTCCTTGAGGTGACAGCAGGCACCCAAGCACTCTGTGTGGTCATCAAAGGACCCACCCAGGTTCCCACTATGCTCTGCTTTGCTCCTTCTGCTGCAGGTGGAAGTTTGCCCACTCATGACCAACCCCGTGAGCACATTCTGGATACCAACTGATACTGCTCGAACTGAGACCCATCCCTCAGTCTGAGCCACTACTTCCAGATCCCAGTTAGCAGTGGAAAGGTGGGGCGAGAGAAAATGGAATCAAAGCTGAGCAGATGGAAATTTCCAATGAGCACTCTCATGCACCAACTGCTGGGGCTGAGCAAGTCCACCTGCTGTCTCTACGTACAGCCAGGGCCTTGTCACTACACCCCACCCGAGACCCTGCTGCCGCTTCCAAGAAGTCACCAGCTCCTCTGGGCTGTGTGGACTTTCCCATCAACTGCTGCCTGCCTCGTCCTAATGCGACTTCTAGACTCGTTTCTAGAGACTTGAGGTCAGTCCCAGTCTCCCACCATAGACAGTCTGAAGTCAAGATGTGCACCACTGGCCTGTCAACACTGGCATTCTGATCTACTGAGATGGCTAACTTTCCTACTGGGCTCTTGTCAGTCCCTCACCTCAGTGCTGGCCCAGCTGTCTCCCTGGTCTGACCAAGGACAGTGCCCAGGTCTGCTGCATGTGGCATCTGTTGTGCAATCGTGTCCCTAGTTGTAAGTTAGTTCTAAGTTTCTGAGGCACTGCAGGCAACAGCTGAGCTACTGCTGCTTTAATGTCATGCCATGCCACCGTTAACCCACAGCAAAATACAACTGCAAGACAAATCTAACTTCTGCAGCGGTGAACTGTGAAGTCATGTGGCCCCACTAAAAAGGAGTGTGGGGAAAAAAACCAAATAAATAAGGAGTGTGGGGTCTCCCTCTTTCATCATTATTTCTTCTCTACATGGCCCCTCATGAGGATTTGCTATCTGGCGGCGAGCTCCTAGTACCTGTCATGTTTAAGATCTGTATCCCGGCTGGAATCTTGCAGTCTCTTCAAAAATGAGCTCTTTAAGTTTTTCCTTGGGCAAGTCATCCAGTTCCATGTCAAACTTGAACGGTGCTTCAGCGATAGGCTTTAAGAGAAAACCACACAGTTTGCTGACACATAAAATGACCAACACAGCAAATCAGCCACTGTCTCGACGTCAATTCTGACTGAGTGACCCCACAGGGCAGAGTACAACGGCTAGTTACCTAGGTTCCCCGAGACCATCAATCTTCATAGGAGTAGAATGTCTCTTCTTTCTTCCTTGGAGATGTTGGTGGGTTTGAACCACCGACCTTTTCATACCAGCCCAATGCTTAACCCATACACTACCAGGGCTCCTTGATGACAGCTCATGTCGATGGCCAGTAGGCCGGGATGATGATGACAAGCACCAATGAACTCCTTTCTCAAGAAGATTTCACAAAGGCTCTGGGAGAGGGAGTCCATTGCAGGTGCTCTCTAAACTCAACACAAACCCCACAGAAATGTCCACTGGACGCTTCAGGGTACTAAAGGTTGAAAGGATAGAAACTGGCCTGAAATTGAAGGTGGGGGGTATGTTTGCACTATCCAAGTGCATCTATTTTAGCATCATGGATATTCTATCTAATAAATAAAGAGTGTAGTATCTCTATCTAACAGTATCTTATGGAGCCATAAGAATTAAGATGAACTTAATTCAAAACAGATTCACGCCCTGGAATGCTCATGCTCGTGTGAAGCAGAATGGACCCTATTTTATTTTAGAATTTTCAATACAGAAATGAAAAACTGGGAAGAAACTATTTCAAGATCTTGGTTAACAAGATTACAAAATCATCTCTCATATTTTTTTCCCTTTTAATTTTTCTTTTAGCTTTTTAAACCATGGACACTTACTTACTCTACAAACAATCAGAAAGTTCTCTCTTTATGCCAAAGACTCTCTGGACACACTCAATGACAAAAAGAGAAATCAATCTGTCGATTAATAGTTATAGCTTGATTTTAAAGGTCCATAAATGAACAGAACATTATATGAAATATAATTAGGTCAGCAGTTCAAACCCACCAGCTGCTCCCAGGAAGAGAGATGAGGCTGTGTCTACTTCCATACAGATCTCCAGTCTCAGAAACCCCAAGACTCTGAGTCAGAACTGAATTGATGGCAGTGGGTTTAATGACCCCCACCCCCTGGCACTCCCGGATCTACTCTCCTGTTTGCCCCACTAGGAAGGGAGAAGCTGCGGCCAGCTGAAGACGGTTCAGGTTCATGGGAGGACACCCAGCTGGCTTTTGGCGAGGTGGTTCCAGGCCTGAGATTTAGCACATACCACCTCTCCTAACCCTCCCACCACTTACTGGGTCAGGAATTGATGGGGTCACAGGGGCTGGTGAGAACCACACTTGTTCTCCTTACAGTCTGTGATAATGACTGTTTCTGGGAGAGGCTAGTGGGGGCACATGAATGATGATGATTTTAATAAAAAGAAGGGGCTTCAAAAAGTTGTTTCCCATGAATTCCTGAAGCCTCTTTTGTGTCTCTTCTATTTCATTCACTGATCAGGTTTTCAGTCTTTATGGGTAGAATTCCTCTCCCTTCTCATTTGCACCCTGCATTTTAATATGCCTTCCTGCTGCTTTCCCTCTTCTGAGCAGAGGCTTAATATTTACACATACAGATCTGAATGGAGCTTATCAAACCTAGGCTCACATGGTAAGCTTCAAAAACCTCCAGAGAACATTAAGAGCTGAAGCCCCCGGGCCCACTAACCAGCAGCAGCTTCCCCGGGAGGTCCCGTGTCATCTGAAGAGCTGGACTTGACACTCCTCCTCCAGAACAGGCTTCCCTGTGTTTCCATCTCTAGACACAAAGCTGGGCACGCTGTGGCATCTTCCCCCTGACCACTCCCCACCCCAGCAGGAAGCTGGCCGCCGCCTCCTCTTCAAGGCCTATTAGTGGCTCCCTGATGCCCAGCCCTGCTGTAGGCAGCCTGGAGGGAGTTTTCTATGCTCCATGGGAGGGGCCTGTGGGGAGGGTGACGTGAAGATTCCCACTGCATTCTTGGCACTAACCCTCCAGGCTGAGGAAGTGGGATATAAGGTTGTTGGGGGGTGGGGGGGTGGGGACCATGCATGCAAGGTGTGGTGCCAGACCCCAGGGTGACCCTGAGGCTCCTCCAAGTGGACCAATGCCAGCAGCACACATGGCTGCGACAAGGTCAGGCATCTTACCTCATCACTCGGGTCATAATACTGCTCCAGGTATGGGTGGGCCAGAGCCTGTTCTACTTCAATCCTCTTGTGAGGGTTGAAAGTCAACATCTTATCCAGTAAGTCCAGAGCTGCAACGGGAAATGGTTTGCAGTGGTGAGAAGCAGAAAGAATAGTCGTGGAGAATACTTGCTACTCCCTATTGAAGGAACTGACTTCACAAAGCAAGCAGATAAGCACCTTGCAGTCAGTGGGGAGGACAGCTGGCACAATGAGTGCAGATCACCTCTCTGAGCTTCTCAGCCAACCGACCGACCACCCTCGCCCCATGCTCGATAAATGACTAACCAAAGGCCACAGATCCGAGGCAGAAGAGTCCGTCTAACCAGACCTCCCTTCAAGGCCTGGGCTTGTCCTAGATCACTCTCCTCCTTTGCTGGTAGAAAAAGCTTTATGTATACGTACTTCTCCCAAATCGACTCTAAAACCAAGTTTGTAGCAGTCAGGGTAGCTCTTGGCATACAGGCAAGGCTTGGGTTTCCAGGTAATAGGAGAAAACAGTTGCTGGCCCTCGGTTCCCACTGCAACCGCCTCCTCCTTCCAGGACATACCACGGTCAGCTTTCCAGCCCCGACTCTGCATCTAAGAGTCCTACTTCAAGGCCAAGGCCAAGAGTCCTCACCACAAGAGTGTCCTTCATGTAGCATGCAGCAATAGGGGCAACTGTGGGAGCTGTCTGACTTGTTGGGGGGGTGGGGGAGAGCGGGCAGGCAGAGAAGGGTTAATTAATGAAGAGCTGGTTCTGTGAGCCTCTAGGAGCTTGTGTCCAGGCACAGTGGTTGGAATGAGGGTGAATGGAAATACAGCTGACAGGTGTCTTGTATTTAGTATTGGGGGGCATGGCAGGTATCAGAAACACATAGTAGAGAATAATTATTGTCCTGGAAAAGATGCGTAGTGATGGGCAAGTCCTTGAAAACTATCTTCTGTCTCATCGAATTTATTTACTTTTCTTTTAAAAATAATTTTATTGGGGGCTCGAACAACTATCACAATCCATACATCCATCCATTGTGTCAAGCACATTTGTAGCCATCATCATTCTCAAAACATTTGCTTTCTACTTGAGCCCTTGGTATCAGTTCATTTTTTTCCCCTCCCTCCCCGGCCCCCTCCTTCACGAACCTTTGAAAATTTATAAATTATTATTATTTTGTCTTGTCTTACACTGTCCGACGTCTCCCTTCATCCACTTTTCTGTAGATCTTTGTGATTGGCTCCCCCATTTTACTCCACTTTCCCCTTACCCTCCTGGTGTCGCTACTCTCATTATTGGTCCTGAAGGGTTTATCTGTCCTGCATTCCCTGTGTTTCCAGTTCTTATCTGTACCAGTGTACATCCTCCGGTCTAGCTGGATTTGCAAGGTAGAACTGGGATCATAATAGTGGGGGTGGGAAAAAAAATAGTGGGGGTGGAGGGGGTAGGGGTGGGGAGAAGCATTAAAGGACTAGAGAAAACTTGTATGTTTCATCGGTGCTATACTGCACCGACTGGCTTGTTTCTTCCCCATGACCCTTCTGTAAGGGGATGTCCAGTTGCCTACAGATGGGCTTTGGGCCTCCACTCCACACACCCCCCATTCACAATGGTATAATTTTTTGTTCTTTGATGCCTGATCCCTTCGACAACACATGATCACACAGGCTGGTGTGCTTCTTCCATGTGGGCTTTGTTGCTTCTGAGCTAGATGGCCGCTTGTTTACCTTCAAGCCTTTAAGACCCCAGACACCGTATCTTTTGATAGGAGGGTACCACACCACCAGCTTTCTTTACATTTGCTTATGCACCCGCTTTGTCTTCAGCGATCATGTTGGGAAGGTGAGCATCATGGAATGCCAGTTTAAGAGAACAAAGTATTCTTGCATTGAGGGAGCAATTGAGTAGAGGCCCAATGTCCATCTGCTACCTTAATACTAAACCTATAAATAAAAGCACATAGATCTATTTCTGTGTCTCATCTAATTTAATGATGCATGGACCAGTAGGTTTTAAAAAATTGTCTCATTGTAGCAAAAATGCAAGTAACAAAACACCAGCCACTTTACTGCACAACTCAGTGAGGCTGCTTCTGCGCACCACAGGGTGCAACCCCAACGACTATGTTTTAAATTATTCCAGAACCATTAACAGAATGCTTCTTAGAGGCAAAGATAGCAAGACTTCATCTTACAGACTTCAGACATGTCAGGAAAGTCCAGTCCTTGAAGAAAGGCATCAGGCTTGGTAAAGCAGAGGCAGTGAAGAAAGAACGGCCCTTAAGGAAATGGATTGATATACTGGCTGCAAGGATGGGCTCAAGCAAAGGAACAACTGTAAGAATGGCACAGGAAGGACCCGGCAGTGTTTTCTTCTGTTGTGCATAAGGTCACTATGAGTTGGGACCAACTTGATGGCATCTACCACCACCACCACCATTAACAGAAACTCAGGGTTCCCAAAACTCAGATGTCCCCCTTTTCCCTCCCTCTGCTCATGGGGCTGACAAGCCACTAATAAACAATGGACCTTAAACAGCTACCTATTTCATATACTTGGGGCTAGATCACACAATGTCCTTTTGTGACTGACTTCACTCAGCATATGGCTCGTCCACGTTGTAACGTGCGCCAGGCCTTCCCTGATAGCTGAAGAACAGCCCACTGACACTCAGATGAAATCATGTTTCTCCACTGTCTGTTGGTAGGCTTCAAGATTATTTCCATCTTTTGGCTACTGTCGAAGAGTGTGGTGATGGAGCCTGGGGTACAGGCTCTCAATGCACGTGTGCTTTCAATTCTTTGGGCTCCAGATCAACACCAGGATTGATTGCTGGGTAACATGATCGTTCTTTTTCAGGACCCACCAAACTGCTTTCCACACGTAATGAAGTCAGGAACTCACAGGCCAGCGCTACAGGAAACATGGTTAATGTGTGTATACGGCTCTTCTCCTGGGCTGAGCTTCATATTCCTGTAGTTGGAGACATACCACACTCCCTACCCTAGCCGTCCTTGTCCAAGAATGTTCACAGCCATTTCCCCAGGGGCTTTCTGAAGAGGACACTAAAGGTCATTTGTTTTTTTTTGTCCTGTCAGATACCATCTCAATCAGGAAAAGCCCAAGAGAACCTGGTCATAGTCAGCTTCGAATGGTGTGATTCTAACCTGTTGGTGTTAATCAAGGAAGCACATTACCAAAGTTGTACACTTACAGTTTAAGCATTTTTTCAACAGGCTTGCTAGTTCCTTAAAGGCTATACCTTTAAATCAAAGGACAAGTGTTATAAGAAAGACAGCTTCTCCTCTGATCCCAACAGAGACATCAATCTCCAACCTCCATTTATGCAGTTATTTCTGCCCTGCTCACAGCTCTAGCAGGGGAATGAGGCTGGCTGGTCTACCGCCACCCCCCACCCCGCCCTCCTGCCTTTGGCACTGTTCCCCGGGTGATCAGGGCACCACTCAGTGGGGCATGAGGTGCAGACCTAGAAGGAGCCTTTGCAGGCATTTCCTTGAAGGGAAATTAGGAGGCAGGGATGGTCCCAGGCCCTGATTCTCTCTGCTGTCCACTTCTCTATAGCTTCAAAGACCTAAGCAACAAGAAATCTGACTTTACCATTGTCCTGGGTTTTGTGGACTTCTTCCCATCCTGGCCCAGCCCACACAGCAGATCATAACTGGAGTGTGCAGCATTCCCTTGGCTCAGCCCGCCTGCCTGGCAGAAGCCTAAGATGTGCAAGTGCAGCCTGTCACCTTCACCTTCAATGCTAGTACAGAGCAGCCAGAGATTCTGTCCACAAAGCTCTGCCTCTTTCATCTCAGGACCCCCTGGCATCCTTAGCTCCTTGAGGAGTGGTGAAAAGGAGGGCTAGTTCAGCTCCTCACACAGATGCTGAATACGCTGTGTGTGCTGGTCAGTTTGCCACTGAACAGTGAAAAGAAGGTAAGACTAGAGGAGCAACCTCTGCTGCTTGGTCAGGGGCCCTCCCTCTCCAGTCAATGTGGTTTCTGTTTTCGACTTTAAGTATGTAGATGAAACAAGCCCGTATTAAGCATAAAAGTTTCACCTAGGTGCTAGAATCATAAGAACACTCTGTGGGTAAAGGAAGTGGTGTTAACAAACCCACGGGCAAGGGAACAACAAGTGATCCAAATCGGTGGTGAGGAGGGTGTAGGAGGCCTGGTAGGGTGTGATCAAGGGCAATGTAACTGAGAGGAATTACTGAAACCCAAATGAAGGCTGAGCATGATAGTGGGACAAGAGTAAAGTAAAAGGAAATAAAGAGCCAGGAGGCAAAGGGCATTTAAGGAGGTCTAAATAAAGGCATGTACATATGTAAATATATTTATATATAAGGCCCAATGTCCACCTGCTACCTTAATACTAAACCTATAAATATATGCACTGTTGAAACCTATTCAACTCACTGGTACAGGTGACACTGTAGCACAGCTCCCCGCATCCCAGCAACATGTAAGTCATGATAGTGTGACAAAACACCCACACCCTGGAAACCCACGTACAATTAAACTACAACGTGGCTTCCAAACGTTCCTGGGAAAATGTTATTGGACACTAAAGGTATCCATGAACCTTTTGGAGGCCCTTTGTACGTATGTGCAAGAATCACCATCAGTTCCTGGTGGATTCTTTAGAAGTGGAGGTCAGATGTGCCTCCAATTTTTTCTTTGATCAGTTTTGATACTAACCATCTATCCCAAGGAATGCTCTACTTCTTGCTGGGTGCAGTAATTCACTGCAATGGCTGTGAACTTACAGACAATAGCCACAATTACGTAATTTACTAGGGAAGTTAACTAGCTGCAATTCAAAATCAGAAGCGTTATGAAGGACTGCCGGCAAGATGGCAGCCTAGACTGACATACTATATGAAGCATCTACAGGAAAAAAAGATATTGCAAAAACCTCAAGCCCTGAATCTCTGAAGGAACACAGAACAAAAAGGTTGAATCCATATACACGGTATCAAGTAAACTAGCAAACTAGGCTGACTAGGCAACTTTGTGTGAGATGCTCAGCAATGGGCAATGTAGGAGCCCCTCCTGCAGAGCAGAGTTGTACAAGCTTATGTTCTGGTGCAACCAGCAGACGGGGTAGGCTGGGGGGGGGGGTTCTCATACTGTACAGAGGCTGGTGAGCGGGGATTGAACCACTCAGGTTCCCCATGGTTCCCAGGTACACAGATGGGTCATTAGCCCACATATCTGCATGCTCTATATACCTGCATCATCCTTCAAAGAGATGAAAAAATTGATCACCAAGTATTACAGGGAAATGAATGAGTCCCAGGATAAGCAAAGCACTACTAAAGAACAACAAAGTTGGCAGCTTCTCATTTTCCAAATCTTTCTAAACCTACTAACAACCACTGCAGTTAAAACAGCCTGGTACTGGTACAATGAGAAACACACAGATCAATGGAACAGAATAACAAACCCAGAAATAAATCTATACAACTATAGAAAAATAATTTTTGACGAAGGACCAAAATAACATTAAATGGAGGAGAAATAGATTCTTTAAATAAATGATGCTGGCAAAAATCAATTTCCATTTGCAGAAGAATGAAACAGGACCCATAACTAACTATACCAAAACAAACTCAAGATGAAATAGAGACATAAATGTAAACCCTAAAGTCATAATGATCAATGGGGGGAGAAAAAAGAAAAAAAGGACAAACTTACAGATGCTAATATATGGCCTAAATACACTATCAAATACTATGAAACACACAAAGGGGAGAAGACAAGACAGATGGTGTGTGTGTGTGTTTGTGTGTGTCCGTCCTAAAAAGACACTTGTTTGCATCAAACGATTTTACCAAGAGCTAAAAAAAAGTGAGAGCCCAGATAACAAGGGAAATTTTTTGGCAATGGTCTATCAATCTCTTATCAGACTAGGGACTGATATCTAAAGTCTACAGAGAACTTCAACATCAGAACAAGAAAAAAACGAATAACTCAATTAAATACAAAAAAGGGCAGAGGACATGACAATTCACCAAGGACAACATTCAGGTGGGCAACAAAGTAGGAAGAAATGCTCTAGGTCACACTAGTCATAAGATGCAAATCAAAATAAGGGTGAGATGTAATTTTACTCAGAATCGATAACAAAGTTCAAAGAAGCACAAAACAGCAAATACTCCAAATTCAGGTCAAAGTGGCTGTGACCTGAAATCCAATTATGAAAATCAATACAGTGCTCTCTCTAAGCCTCAGACAGTTGGCAGTAAGTTCTTTTACGGGGTACAGGAACAGCTTCAAATTCCTGCTTCCTCAGCCCTGCCCTCTAATCTGTGTGAATGACCCACTCGAGTTCCCTCCCCGCTCTATAGCTTCTCCACTGCTACACTGGACAAATTCTGTTCAGTGTTCCTACAAAGTTTATTTTACCTAGTGAAAAAATTACATACATTACAAATGCTGTATTATTTCCTCCAATGAATGCTGCTCATTAGTATCCTCCAGGCTATTAAAACCTTTGCATGTAGTACTTTTCATAATATTTATAATATACCTTTTAAAAAGCCCTGGTAGAGCAAACAGTTAAGTATGTGGCTACTAGCTTAAAAAGGCTGGCAGCATTTCACACCACTTCTTTGAAATTCATTTTGCTGTGAGTGATGATCTAAACTGGTTTTCTTCCGAACAGCTTCTCAGTGCTCACAACACCATCTGCTGAGTAACAAGCTTTCCTTCCTCACACTAGAGTCCAGACCCCTTTGGAGACAACAGCGGACAATCCACGCAAGGGACTCGGCAATAAGCATTTGTGGTGATGGAAAATTTTGGAGATGGAGAGTGGGGATGGTAGCACAACATAATCGATGTAGTTATCAACAAACCGTAGGCTTTACAATGATTAAAACAGCAAATTTGGGTTATATATGTATATAAAGTATATATGGTCTTACAAAAACCAGAGTGAACATAAAGGCAAACTCTGAGTGCTGTGGGCAGGGAATGGCAGGGAGGTGGCAGCACTTCCTCTTGTGCTCACAGAGGGCCCCTCACCTGGCACCTAAGCCCCTCCTTGAAGCATTCTATCAGAAACAGACCCTGTCAAAACCAAGTGTGAAGCTAAGTAAATTGCCTGTGGAAGAACGCAGCGTTGAGGAGGACACTTAGAGAATGGATGTTTAGAAACATTTCCATCACTGCAGGATTCTGCTGCCAGAATTAAGTAACGTTTTCCATATCTTCTTTGCTACTTGGAAACAGACCTTTCTAGCTCTGAAACAGAGTTTTAGGCAGCAGAGTAGCTCAGCGGTTTTTGTGAGTTCAAGACACATTAAAAAAAATTCAACTTCTTCAAGTTGCTGTGAAACTGTGTGACATCAAACAAGGAAATGACTGCCAGATCTTGTCAATAAATCTTTGTATTATTGGTGGCTATAACTAAAAATAATGTGCATTTGGATTTTGGAAGTTCTGTCATCGGATTTACTGATCTTTGTGACAATCGTTTAAATAAAGGCAGCTGTGGAAACCAAGTATGATGAGACCTACGCCCCTACCCTTACACATAGTAAGCAAGCAGTATGCTCCCACCTAATGCAGCATGTCCAAGTCACATCATGTCCATCTGACAAAATAGCATTATTTATTGTTTTAGAGAAAGCAGAAATGTTCTTTGTAGCCCGAGTAAGCACAAAGAAATCAAACATATTTTTACATATTAACATTCAGCATTTTAATACTGTTAACTATTATCTCATTGAGCCAATGTCAAGTTCATGACCTTAACCTAAGGAGATGAAAGTACCAACTCCGAGATGATGGCGAGCTACCCACAGACCAGGGAAAAGAATAGAAGGACATCTACTGACCAAGAAGTCTTAAATATGTAGTTGTTATGCATATCCTCTTCTATAGAACAGCTGGTGGGTTTGAACCATCCACCAAATGGTTAGCAGCAGAGCCCTTTAACCACTGTACCAACAGGGTTCCTACTTGTTATTGAAGTACCTTTATAACATGCTTGTGCACAAGTCAGTCTAACCAGTAGCATGCAACCATGATTCACATATATAAAGTTCTATGTGAAAAATTCTGCAATAAAAACATCCATTGAGATTAATTCACAGTGACCTGACAGAATGGAGTAGAACTCGTCTCATGAGTTCCTGAGACTCAACCTTTATTGGAGCTTAACTTTGGACTTCCTCATCTTTCCTGGCCAATGCTTAACCCACAGCACCATCATGGCCCCTCACAATGAAGGTTGAATTCTAGAACTATATAAGTAAATCTAGATAAGGCAAAAATTGTGTACACACTGCTCTAGCAAAACATCAATGTTTTTACTTTGGAATTCTAATAATAAAGAGTAATTCTTATTCTTGTCCCTATTCTTTCTGTATTTCCAAATTCTCTACAAGACCAGTTAGTACCTTCAAATCATCCGTTTTAGAAGACAGCCCTCCTAGGTTCAACTGAAACAAAACACGAAGCAATCCAATGTTCCTGAATCTTTTTTTTTTTTTGGGGGGGGGGTCATTTTATTGGGAGCTCTTACAGGGATCATAACATTGCATAGTTCAATCACATCAAGCAGTAGTGAACAATTGCTACCACAGTCAGTTTCAAAATATTTTCTTTCTTCTTGAACTCCTGGATATCAGTTCCCCCTTATCCCCTCCCTCGCCCAATCTGCCCCCCAGTGTTCCTGAATCTTGACTCTGAGCAGCTCAGAAGGCACATTTAACATCATAGTGTGATAAATGCCATTAAGGATCAGCCAGATCTACATACTGGCAAGAAAGGCGTTCATATTACAGGCCAATAAAACTGTTAGAAAAAAAAGATATAAATGACAAGTACGTTTTGGGTAAAAACACACATATGCCTGCAGGTATGCAAGGTATGGACTGAGCAAGATCTATAAGGGCAAGCAACAGGCTGTTTGACCTCTCCTCTGGTAAGGAGATTGCAATGGGAATACAGTGGACCCATTTCCTAATTCAGGATAATCTATTTTAAAGGCAGTAGTTTGGCTACCCTAACTCCTTACTTACCATGTAACTTACCATATATACTCTACTCTAAGCAGACCCGAATATCTGCCAGGGCAACTACTTTTACCACAAAAACGGCATTGTAAATGTGCTGAAAAACTTGGTTTATACTCAGTATATATGGTAAATTCTCTGCAGTTCTAGAGGTTAGGGTGTGAGCTTGTTTGAGAAATGCCAATATGCTGCCTACCCCACTTTTATCATAGTACCAAGTTTTAAAAAAATAGTCAAAGGCATTTGCTCCATAGAAAATAGAAATAAAGGCTAGTACAATTATCTAACCGCATTAATATTAAAATCACACACTAAAACTCATTTTTATCACCTTTTCCTTTTATGCCTTGTGCGTTCTGATGTCATAATTAAGAAATTTTCTCCTTACTGATTGTACAAACATGTTTTCCTATTTTCTTCTCTGCATGAAGTAGTTTTTGGCTTTAGGGTTCTTTTCCATCTGGAGTCAACTGTCCACAACAACATGGATGAACTCCAAATGTGTTATGATGCCGAGTGAAAGGAAGCAAATTGAGGCTACGAGTGGCGTGTGATCCCACATGCACACCCAGAGGGGTGGGAATCAAATCAGATTGGTGACTGCTAAGATGGGAGAGGGAGCTCTTGGGGCGTAGACACCCAAGGATGTATTTTACTCTGTGTAAAATATCTTTCAATGAACCTGACTTTTAAAATGATCAATTTCTGTGTTGCTGGCACCTAAGATTTCAGAACCTTATACAGGTGAACTTCATTAAAGTTACTGAGCAGTAAAGAAAGCAAAAGGAGCAGCACGAGAGGGTGGCTTACAGAGTGCTCCAAAGCAGAGAGAGAAAAGGAAGCCACAGTGAGCACAAAGGAAAGCGCTCTCTCTTCAGGACTGAACGAGCCACAGGCTAAATTTCAGGCCCGGTCACCTCACAACGCAACGAACTCAACAATCAAGTGATTCTGATTCAAAAGAATATGGAATGAACTCACACTCACCTTTGGAATCAGCATTTGGGAACAGCCTGTTCCATGGCACCTTATTTTTGTGCGGAAGAGAAAGCAAATAGTTTCTAGCTTTTAAATTTATTATACAATTCAGGTCTTCCTGGGATGGGGATCCAAGAATACCTGTCAGATAAAATAATTAGCTGTTAGGTATTATCAAGGCCGAGGTAAGCCTACTGCACACCCTCAGTGGTGGTCTTCTCACCACCTCCAATGCTGACTTTCTTTAACATCTTTTCATAAGGTTTTTAACATCTTTAAGTTGAGGAAGGTTAAACAAACATTCATGCCTATCCTAGATGAAGAGTCATTAGAACACCTGTTAATTTCACAGGGTGACGCTCTTAGAAGCGTTGGGTAGACAATCCCAATGACTAAGAAGCCCCAAGGGGTTGAGAAGCTTACCCAGAATGTGGTTGAGCTGGTCCAGATAGTGCTTCCCCGGGAAGATGGGTCTGTTGGAGAGCATCTCTGCCAGGATACAGCCGACGGACCAGATATCAATGGACTTGGTATAGCCCTGCCAAGATCAAAGACCACACACGACATCAGTGCTACACGACACACAAACAGGCCTTCCCAATCTGACAGGAAATTTGGTGCTCTAATTCCAAAATACTTATCAGTATCAAGGACAAACAAATAACCCCAATTTGGCATTAAGATCCTGGGCCATTCAAGAAAGCCCGGTTGTACTTCTTCCTTCAAGGTTGTTTAAGTTTAGGGTTAAATATAGTGAAGTTTTTCTGGGAAAAATGAGTTAAGAATCAACCTTCACAATGGTAACAACCTTCAATATGCAGATGACACAACCTTGTTTGAAGCAAAAGAGCTTGAAGAATGTGCTTATGAAGAGCAAAGACTTAAGCCTTAAAAGATGGATTACAACTTAATGTAAAATAAAACAAAACAAAAACCCTAACAAGAGATATGAAAATAATAATTTATAATTTATCAAAGGGTCACGAGGGTGGGAGAGGGAGGGGGGAAAAAGAGAAGCTGATACTAAGGGATTAAGTAGAAAGAAAATGTTTTGAAAATGATGATGGTGATGGGTAATTTGGAACTGCCCCTGGAGGGATAGTTTAAGGGAGGGCCAGGTTATACACCTTGTGGGCAGGTAGAGCTGAGACAAGGGGTTGGATTCCTGGGTCCCTTACCCATAAATTTGGCCCCTGGACTGAATCGTGATACTCCAGAACCTGGTGTAGGAAGTTCATAGCCCCAGCCAAGTGGTTTTGGATCTGGAAATGAGATGGGGACTGAAAAGGGAGGTTTCCCATTATCAGCATTTTTGTGGGGGTTCGTGCCCTCCAAGGGCTCCTAATGTGGGAACTGGCTGAGGAAGCTGGGCAGAGAAGGCTACAGTAGAAGAGACGCAGCTGTAGCAGAAGCTCTAGTGAGCCTTCGCCTGGCAAGTGGGTGTCCTTGAGAAAGCAGTCTAGGTACTCAGCCTATTCCGTGAGCAGCCTGGTTACCCACCCTCCCTGTCCCAGCTCGGCTCCTCCCACTGCACTGAACCATGCTGAAGAGCCCAGTGAAGCAAGCTGTTCCTCTAACCTGGAACGACTCGTTCCCACTGTCCAGCCTCCCCAATTTTCAACCAACTGCTGCTTACTCTTCAAAACTACCATAAGTTTTAACTGCACTTTTCTGCATAAAGCCCGCCCCAATCTTTAGAATAGCTATTTTGTAATCGTTGGGAGTGCAGGATTAGGATCTGGTGCACTTGAGTTAGAATTGCTCCTATGCCATTTAAAATGCCTTGTGACTTTTGGCAAATTTCTTAACCCCTCAAAGAGCTCAAGCTTTGCATCTTGAAATAGAGGCAAAGTACTGTGAGGCTTAAACATGAAGATGTTAGAACCTAACTGTTTAGTAAATGTGAGCAGCTATTTAAAAAAATAAAGAAAATGATGATGGCAACATGTACAAATGGGCTTGATACAAGTGATGCATGGATTGTTAGAAGAGCTGTCAGAGCTCCAATAAAATGATTTATTAAAAAAAATCCTCACAACTGGACCAAAAGGTAACCGATCAAAGAATCACCAATGCATTTGAATTATGGTGCTGTTGAAGAATATTGGACTACCAAAAGAACAAATAGATTTGTCTTAGAAGAAGTAGAGCCGGAAGGCTCCTTAGAAACAAGATAGCGGCGAGACTGTCTCACGGCTGCTGGACATTTTATCAGGAGATCAGTTCTTGAAAAAGGACACCAAGCTTGGTCACGTAGCTGGGCAGTGCAAAAGAGGAAGATCCTTGACAAGATGGATTGACACAGCAGATGCAACGATGGGTTTGAGCATAACAACTGTAAGGATGGCTCACAGTACACAGGGTCCCTATAAGTTGGAATCAACTCAATCACCTCCACCTCCTCCTCCACCACCACCACCACCACTTCCACCAAGAATCACTAATTTTATATATATATATATATATATAGCTATGATAAGGTAAGGATGAATTTTTAAAATAATCCCTCCAAAATCTTGAAATCTGAAATATTCAGATGCTCTGGGTCAACATTAAATAAAGGGTAAATTTTACAACACATGACAAAAGAATTTACTAAGAGGAACCAGGCTCCTTGGAGAGTGAGAGAGAGAGCCGCCCAGGTCTGCCATGGGGAAAGCAACTTAAGAGTCGGGGGCATCTAATATCAGAATCTAAGGCAGGCTCAATAGTCACCCCACCTTTTCAGAGCCATTCCCAGCAGCCAATATGGGGACAATCTGATCACTGATTCTTATGTGAGAGGAATGGTTTAATCCACTAAATAAATTAATCATGACTAAATCATCAACAGAGATAGTTAAAATACAGAGGGAGTGCGTTTTCATTAGTCAATGAATAATAAAACTAGTGGATAAACCTTTGTTAGAGAGGATACTGTAACAGTCTCAAAAATATCACCCCCAAAATAATTATTATTAATGAGAAAGTGTGAAATGGTAAGCTTATGGCAAAGTCCGGGGGATGCCATCGTGACCAAAAGCTCAAGGTGGACATCACCAACACTGACAGGCACCAATGGGACTTCTGATATGCAGTAAGGGAACAAATGGAATGCATAAAGATCACTATCCTAGGTATTCGTGAGCTGAAATGGACTGGTAGTGACCATTTTGAGCCAAATAATCATATCGTTTGCTGCACTGGAAATGGCAAATTTAAGAACAGTGTCACATTTATTGTCATTGTCATAAAAGACATATAAAGACCTATTAATCAAGTATAATTCTGTCTGTGACAGCATGGTATCCATCTGCATACAAGGAAATCCATTTAATACAACTATTATTCAACTTAACACACCAACCACTAATGCTACTGATGAAGAAACTAAAAAATTCTACCACCATCTTCAGTCTGAAATTGAGCAAACATGCAATCAAGATGGATTGGTAATTACAGGAATGTGAGAGTTGGAAACAAAGAGGAAGCAGCACTAGTTGGAAAACATTGCCTTGGTGATAGACTTGAAGCTGGAGATTGCATGAAAGAATTTTGCAAGAATGACTTTTTCACAACAAATGCCTTTTATAAACAACACAAACAAGTCTCTAATACACTTTTCTCCCAAGAAGCAGTTAGTGGTTTTGAACTAAAGAGCTTGTGGGTGGCAGGTATTACCACAGATTAACATCCCAAAAGCAAAGCAAAGCTATCCAGCTGCTGTTGAGCTGATTACAACTCTTAGAGTGCCCTTGTACTGGACAGTGAGTAAAACGGCTTCCCAGGGTTTTCTTAGCTGTAATTTTTATGAAATCCAAGCATTAGGCCTTTCGCCTTTCTTTCTTGGTGCCAATGGATAGGCTTGAACCGCAAACTTTTTTTTTTTTTTGAAAATTACTCTGTATTTCTTCTATCTTTTTTTTTTTAAACATTTTATTAGGGGCTCATACAACTGTTATCGCAATCCATACACACATCAATTGTGTACAGCGCATTTGTACACCATTCTCAAAACATTTTCTCTCCACTTAAACCCCCGACATTAGGTCCTCAGTTTTCCCCTACCTCCCCGCTCCCCACTCCCTCATGAGCCCTTAATAGTTTATAAATTGGCATTTTGTCATATCTTGCCCTGTCTGATGTCTCCCTTCACCCACTTTTCTGTTGTCCATCCCCCAGGGAGGAGGTCACATATAGTTACTTGTAATCGGTTCCCTCTTTCCTACCCACTCTCCCTCTACCCTCCCTGTTTCGCCACTCCCACCACTGGTCCTGTAGGGCTCATTGCCCTGGATTCCCTGGATTTGCAGTTCCTATCTGTACCAGTGTACCTCCTCTGGTCTAGCCAAACTTGCAAGGTCGAATTTGAGTCATGGTAGTTGGAGCGGGGAGGAAGCATTTAGGAACTGGAGGAAAGTTGTATTTCTCATCGTTGCTACATCGCACCCTGATTGACTCGTCTCCTCCCCGAGACCCCTCTGCAGGGGGATCTCCAGTGAACCGCAAACCTCTAAGTTTGTAGTTGAGAGCAAATCTTTTACCTCACCCAAAGCTAAAAAACAAGATAATTAAATGACATGATACTGTTTGATCTGAAATCAGGAGGGAAAAAAGTTTAAAAGGTTATTTTTGTGACCATATCCAAAATTTAAATGTGAATTATGCATTAGATAGTACCCTGTTCTGGACTGCTGTCCTACAGCCCTGGCCCCGTCGGAGGATGTCCTTGTTCTTGGGTTTAAATTTTCAACCTCAGTACTACTATTTTGAGCCAGAAAAGGTCTTTTGTTGTAGAGCTGCTATCCTGTACGTTGTGTGGCTTGTCGTGACAACCACGAAAATGTCTGCAGACACTGTCAAATGTGCTCTAGAAGATGCCAAACCACTCTCCCCAGGAACAAAACGTGGAACTACTTAAGGGCACACGTACAGGTTACTCCTGAGTATCTCAGCGAACAAGACACAACTACATCTATAGAGAAAACAACACACCAGATAGAGTAAAAGGACGAAGATAGGAGGTAAAAGTTACAGAAGAGTCCTTGTGTGTGTGTGTGTGTGTGTGTTCTAGAGACTTTAATGCATCCCTAAAGAGCCCTTCCTACCATAACAAAAGGTAGCATTGATTCCTCCATTCATGTTCTCAAGTATACAGGGGATTTTCCAAGAGGCTACACGATAAGTGATACTATTGCAGATGAAATGTGACCACATTTGGAAGATCAACATTACCCGATAAACCAGTATGTTCCAGGTGATAAGTGCCTGATGTTACAAAATTATGCCTGGAGAGAAGCACCAGGGAGATTTTAATAAAGCCAAGAACAAAAGGTTCACTGCCATAGTCTCAGAGTCTACACAACAATTAATCCTAAAAAAACTACCACCTGCTGGGTCTGGGTGTTGTATGAAAGAAGAACAGCCTGTACTGCTGAGAAGACTACTGAAGTGTCCCTTTCTTTCCAACTACCAGTCTCTGTGGGACACAAGTTCATCATTACCTTCAACCAAAATAATGTACCTGACTGAAGGAATAAACAAATATGAGAATCCAAATGATTCTATTAAACCAGATTGCAAAAATGTAAAACATTGCTGTTTTTCTCAATAAAAAGTGACAAAAGACATTTATAGAGGTATAAATATAGGCCTATAGGTTTATATACATATGTAGAAGTATTAAGGTAGTAGACAGACACTGGGCCTCTACTCAAGTATTCTTTCGAAGCAAGGACACTTTAAAAAAAATTAATCATTTTATTGGGGGCTTCTACAACTCATCACAATCCATACATACATCAATTGTATAAAGCACATTTGTACATTCGTTACCCTCATCATTCTCAAAACATTTGCTCTCCATGTAAGCCGCTGACATCAGCTCATCCCCCCCCCATGAACCCTTGATATTTTATAAATTATTTTGTCATATCCTAACACTGTCCGACGTCTCCCTTCACCCACTTTTCTGTTGTCCGTCCCCCCAGGGAGGTTATATGTGGATCCCTGTAATCGGTTCCCCCTTTCTACCCCACCCTCTCGTATCGCCATTCTCAGCACTGGTCCTGAAGGGATGATCTGTCTGGATTCTCTGTGGTTCCAGTTCCTATCTGTACATCCTCTGGTCTAGCCAGATTTGAAAGGTAGAATTGGGGTCATGATAGTGGGGGTGGGTGGGAAGCATTTAGGAACTAGAGGAAAGTTGGGTTTCATCGTTGCTACACTGCACGCTGACTGGCTCGTCTCCTCCGCGCAATCCTTCTGTAAGGGGATGTTCAGTTGCCTACAGATGGGCTTTGGGTCCCCACTCCGCACTCCCCCTCATTCACAATATGATTTTTGTTCTTTGATGCTTGGTATCTCATCCCTTCGACACCTCGTGATTGCACAAGCTGGTGTGCTTCTTCCATGTGGGCTTTGTTGCTTGAGCTAGATAGCCACTTGTTTACTTTCAAGCCTTTAAGACCTCGGATGCTATATCTTTTGATAGCTGGGCACCATCAGCTTTCTTCCCCACATTTGCTTATACACATTTGCTTACATATTGTCTTCAATGATCATACTGGGGATATGAACACACAATGATATGATTTTTTTGTTCTTTGATGCCTGATAACTGATCCCTTCGGCACCTCGTGAGCACATAGGCTGGTGTGCTTCCTCCATGTGGGCTTTGTTGCTTCTGAGCTAGATGGCCGCTTGTTTACCTTTAAGTCTTTAACACCCTAGATCAGGGGTCCTCAAACTTCTTAAACAGGGGGCCAGTTCGCTGTCCCTCAAACTCATTGGAGGGCCGGACTATAGTTTAAAAAAAAAAGATGAACAAATTCCTATGCACACTGCACATATCTTATTTTGAAGAAAAGAAACAAACGGGGCAAAAACACCCGGAGGGCAGGATTAATGTCCTCGGGGGGCCACATGTGGCCCAAGGGCCATAGTTTGCGGATCCCTGCCTTAGATACTATATCTTTTGATAGCCGGCCTCCATCAGCTTTCTTCACCACATTTGCTTGTGCACCTGCTTTGTCTTCAGTGATTGTGTTGGGAAGGTGAGCATCATGGAATGCCAGTTTAAGAGAACAAAGTATTCTTGCATTGAGGGAGTACTTGAGTGGAGGCCTAATGTCCATCTGCTACCTTAATACTAAACCTATAAATATAGGCACATAAATCTATTTCCCCATCCTTATATATATATTTACATATGTACATGCCTTTATTTAGACCTCTATAATAAATGCCCTTTGCCTCCTGGCTCTTTCCTCTATTTCCTTTTACTTTTCTCTTGTCCCAATATCATGCTCAGTCTTCATTTGGGTTTCAGTAATTCCTCTCAGTTACATTGCCCTTGATCACGCCCTACTAGGTCTCCTACACCCTCCTCACCACTGATGTGGATCACTTGTTGCAAGGACACTTTTTTTTGTGATGATCAATGAAGACAAAACGGGTCCATAAGCAAATGTGGCAAAGAAAGCTGATGGTGCCCGACTATCAAAATATATAGAATCTGGAGTCTTAAAGGCTTGAAGATAAACAAGTGGCCATCTAACAGGGAAGCAGCAAAGCCCACATGGAAGAAGTACACCAACTTGTGTGATCACAAGGTATCGACAGGATCAGGCATCAGAAGACTCAAAACAACCATATTGATGTGAATGAACGGGGCTGGAGTGGAGACCCAAAGCCCATCTATAGACAATTGGACATCCCTCACAATAGGGCCACAAGGGATAAGTCAGCCAGAGTGCAGTATAGTACTGATGAAACACACAACATTCTTCTAGTTCTTTAATGCTTCACCTCCCCCACTCCATTATCATGACCCCAGTTCTACCTTACAAATATGGTTAGACCAGAGTATAAGCTCTCTACACACAGAAACCAGGACAGATAAACTCCTCAGGTACAGTAATGGGAGTAGTTAAACCATGAAGGTAGGTGGAAAGTGGGGGAAGAAAGGGGTAACAGATAGCAATGATCAACATATAACCCCACCCCCTGGGGATGAACAACAAACATGGGTGAGGAGAGACAGTGAATGGTGTAAGATATGAAAATAATTATAATTTATCAAGGGTTCCAGAGGGTGGGGAGCTGAAGGGAAAAAAAGAAGCTGATATCAAGGGTTCAAGTAGAAAGAAAATGTTTTCAAATGATGATGGCAAAATATGTACAAATGTGCTTGATACAATTAATGTATGGATTGTTATAAAATGACTTTCTTCATAGAATGTCAGTTGAGAACTGTTAAGAGGAGTAACGGGTAAAAAAAAAAACCCACATAATTTTGCAGTCCCCAGTCTCATCACTGACTCAGACTGGGGCCATCTGGAGGTGTAGGATGATGGGGTGGAAAGCCTGCTAGAGAGCCAGGCACGCATACCCAGGGTGTCTAGGATCTGTGGCGTTCTTGATGGAAGAGGTCTGAATCTCGTCTTGAGAAAGCATGAGGAATCCGGAGTGTGAACCATTCTGTGAAACAGCAGTCTGTACTCTGGCAAGTGTTGATGCCATGGAGAGGAGATGGGGGGTGGGAGGGCCGCCCTACATGGGAGTTGACCAAAAGGTCTGAATAGATGAACATAATGCTCGCATACTGGCTACAGTGTCAGGACTTAATTTTGGGCTAGATGAACTATGTGGGGACATCTGGGATGTATCTTGAGAAGGTCCTTAAATCCTCACTGTCCCAGGATGCTAAGAGTACCAGACAACAGGAGAGAAACAGAAGAGAGGCAACGCGAGGAGAGGGAAGGAGGAGGAGAAAGCAGGGCCTGATAGAAAGAGAGGGAAAGAAGGCAAGAGATTAACTCCTTGTGAATCTAGGGAACGGTGTGCATTGTATCGCAATTCTTCCAAGGGGTTGACCAGATTAAGGAAAAGTAAAAATCTGAATACATTACCAGATTGACATTTTCAGGCTAGTGATGTTACAAATTTTAAAAAGGATTAAGTCTCAATTTTGATAAGCAGATCTGCAAGCAGTCCTGAGCTGTGTGCTCCTTTCGCTGGGGAAAGGAGACACTGTGTTGGAAGACGGAGTCCGTGCCGTACATGCGCCAGCTGAGTGCTGGGGTGGTTGTCATAAGGCCACTCTGGAGAAAGCACCTGCTGTGTGCAATTATTTGTAACATGAAAGAGAATCAACATAGCTCCTTTTCTTTGAGACATCTGTCACACCAAACTCTTCTTGATCAAGGAATTTTATTGTTTGCATAACTAAACTGAATAAATGAAGGGCATACCATGAATAATGACTTCAAATAACTTCATTTCCTCACAAAAGCAAGCAACTATTGTACAGAAAGTGGTAGACTCATAAAGGGAGGGTGGAGGGTGAAGGCCAGGTGTCAACGAGGCCTTGCAGCACTGTCCATAAGCCATGTCTCTTTTCACTGCCAACCTCATGTACCTCAAGCTACATCAGAGTGGATGGAAAAGAGTTGCTGAATCTAGGAAGTACAGTCAGGCTCACTTCACTTCCCACTTTTGAGACGTTCTTCATGTATTATTTGCCAGAGCAAACGAAGTACTAAAAATACTGAATCTCAGTATCCAGAAACCTATCCAAGGCGTCATACTTTTTTGTTTTTTTGGTGTGTGTGTGTGTACACTTTTATATATGTTTTTGATCATTCCTTGTAACAAAGACACACAACATGTTAGAACAGCTTGTATGCGACCAAAACAAACTCTTAAAAAAGATACTGGTTTCAAAAAAAACAAAGATACTGGTTTCATTTGGAAGCGGACTATCACAAAATTCCCAGAGGTGCTATAAAGGACACTGGACAGCATCTCTTCTTTCCACGCCTTTGTTCTGTCCCAGTATAGTATACTATAATATTGCTACATTTTATAACATTCTACATTTTTCCATCTCAGATAAATCTGATCTCTATAGAGTAGATCTGGTCCCTGCTCACAGCGATACATACACAGCCCAGATAACTTCTAGCTTAAACCCAGTGGCTCCTGGAGGTGTTGCAAACTGCCACCAAGGAGACTGAGTGGATAGTGGACTTGTGAGGGTGGGCACAGACTACTTTCTATCACAATGACAAGAGCTGGCACACAGAGGCAGCACCCATCCCTCCAGTTCTACTTCATCTGGGGTGGGGGAAGGCTATAGGCCAGGGTCTGAAAGTTCTATGATGTGCAACTAGATTCTCCGCAAGCACACACAGACACAGACCTGGGCCTGCAAGACGAACCAAGCTGAGACCCAAGCTGAAACAGAGGCCAACAGGAGCAGGACTGATTACCACATTGTTTTCATTCCATGCAAGCTTGGTCCTTACCTTGGAATTCAACATGATTTCTGGAGCCCGGTACCAGCGTGTGGCCACGTACTCTGTCAGGAAGCCAGTGTGGTCGTGATCTGGGTCTGCAACACGGGCCAGGCCAAAGTCGCAGATCTGAGAGAGAAAAATGAAAGACATTCTGAGAGACGCTGACCAAGTTGAGAACAAAACAGAAGCAAAAGGAATGTGGCAACAGCAATAAAAGTGACAGGAAGCAGCTGTCACCACTACTAAGTGGCAAATGCTGTGCTGACAACTCAGCAAATGCAGTTGTGTCACCGTCCCAACAACCGGACGGGCAGCCATAACAATCTACAGGCTACAAGACATGAAAAGGGGTAGTTCTCTACCTTCCATGACGGACTAGTCCACAGTACTGTCACAGGGTACGTGTCAAAACCGTTCTGGTGGGGCTGCTAGCCAATATCCAGGAGGCCCCCTGCTGGTCTCCCTGTCACATCCTCCATCCATGTGTGCAGCTCCCTTCTGTTACTCAGACCTCCCTTCCTGCTTTTCTGTCATCTTCCCCAGGCCTGGAAGCAATGCCAATCTTCCCCCTCCCAGGAGTCAAATTCATTCCTGAAGCTCAAATACCCTACTCCTCATACTCAAGACACAATTTAAACGAACAACCCACACACAAAACCCCCTCCAACTTCTAACTTCCCCTTGACACACAAATAACTGCTAGTTTTCCAATTATCTGGCCATCCAATCCTTTGCTGTTACTGTGAGAACGTTAACAGACTGCAAGGTATCAATATACAACTATAATGTGTTTAGTCCCAAAGGATTACAGAATATTTTAATTGTTTGGGCCGTCCCTTCCCTCCTCCCAAGCCATTCTCGCAACTATGTGTGAGTTCATTGTTGTAGCCACTGTGCCCATCCAACTTGTCAAAGGTCTTCTTTTTTGCTCCACTACTTTACCAAACAAGCATGATGTCTTTGCCCATGGGTGGGTCCCTCCTGAGAACATGTACAAAGGAGGTGTGAAAATGAAGTCTTGCCATCCTCGCTTCTAAGGAGCAGGGCTGGCTGTACTTCTTCTAAGATGGATTTGTTTGTTCTTCTGGCAATCTGAACATTGCAAAACATCCATTTGTTTATATAAAAAAATCAGATGTGCTCTTGTGTTTCCTCATCTCTAACATCAGGAAACAATTTAATTCAAAGACCAAAGAAAAGATGAAAGTCCTTGTGTTGCAAGGAGAGCCCCAGCAGCCTGATGGGGATGAAGGTTGAGAATGGGGCATCTCCTTGGGGATGCATGATGAAGACGGAGCCCATGTGGGGAGACAGCACAGGGATTTGAACAAAGAAAAATGGATGAAACTGTGGAATCAGTTATTTCATGGAGGTTGCAAAATGGCATTCTTTTAAGGGTAGTGAGATAGTTTATTGTGCCAGCTTGGCCGATAAACACATGTGGGGTTAACTGAAGGGGGGAGAGATAAATGGCTCAGTGAGTCTCGCTTTTCGAGTTCTCGGGTCTCTTGCTTTCTGATGGTCGGACCAGGATGCAGCTGCCTTAGCCAGTTCCCTGCTTCAGCTGGCAAGGGTCACTTTCTGCAAGACATCCCTGAAGAGAAGCCACATGGACCTACCCCGATGTAGCTCTGGGTGCTGGAGCAGTCGGGTGGAGACCCCTGCCAGCGCTGAGATGCTTACACGCTCACTAATTCAGCTTTCCTCCTGCAGTCGGGATCATTGCGTGTGTTTTGTGAGATGGAGGGAGACTTTGTGGACTGGTGTCGGACATATGGGCTAATGTTGGACTTGTGGGCTTGGGCAACACTAGGTTGGGATGTTTTCTTAATGCCCACTTACCCTTTATATAAAACTCACTCTTATACATGAGTTTCTGTGGAGTTGTTTCTATAAAGTACCCAGACTCACACAGGCAGAGTCAGTATTTATTGGCTAAGACTGTGTTTACTTGATGGCTAGAACCACTGCAAGGACAGGAGAAATATCTAATTCTTTCCCCTTAAAGACCAATTCCATAGCAGTAAGTAGATTAGAAAGGGTTAGACAGTTTTATTCCCCAAGATGTAGTCAATTAATAGGGCCCTTTTAGCCTTCCCATACGTGATGTATTTATTATGAATTCTAGCCTCTAAGATGCCTGTGGTTAAAATCCCATTTTGGAAGAAGTTCTCTGCTCTGCTAATGAACAAGATACTAAGGTGAGATTAAGTCTCCATCATTTAAACAAGTTAGAAATTGAATAAGGAAAACTGAAGAACAAGTGATCTGCTTGAATTATGCTGGCTAAGAATATTTAACGTGCCATGGGCTGTCAAAAGTACAAACACATCTGTCTTGGAAGTATAATCAGAATGTTCCTTAGAGGCCAGGATGGCCAGACTTCATCTTACATACGTTGGGCATCTTGTCAGGAGAGGAGACCCTGGAGAGGTACGGCAGAAGAGCAGCAATGCAGAGGAGGGCCCTCACAAGATGGACTGACACAGTGGCTGCAACAATGGGTCAAGCATACGAGTAATCGTGAGGGTGGCGCAGGACGAGCAGTGTTTTGTTCTGTCTGCTGTGCATGGGCTCACTGGGGGTTGGAAGGGACTCGATGGCATCTAACAAGTCTCCACCTTAGTAAAGGGTATGAACCCTTTGTTTCCTGGGGGGTATGGTCTGCGGAAAGATAAAATCCACAACTTCATGAAAGCCACTCCTCTGTGTATAAAAGCCATCTCGGATACAGAGAAATGACGGGAACAATGGAAGAACTTATGGAAGGCTCAAGACTGGGGAGAGTCTCTAACAACACACACTCACCTAGTACCATTATACCATCCTATTGATTCTGCCTGGGGGCGGGGGAGTGTTATATAACTGCCTAATTGACAATTCAAGAGGATCCAAATAACAAGAGTTCAGTCAATAAGGCTGTAGACTGCAAACTTTCCAGGCATGGTGCTCATGGCCACCTCAAGATAATGACTAAATCTGGATGGAACCGCTTCTTTCGGATCACTGCACCCTCTCCTCCATCCTCATTCACACAGCGCCGAAGTCAACGATAGATCGTGACTTCAGCGATACTGTACCTGTCTTTGAAATGAGACTCTCTTCTGAATATATACCCATGGAAATGAATGACGTATAAGTGTCACTGTTTCTTAATGTGAGTGAGCTGTATTCTGCTAAATATCTCAATCACAACCTGTTAGTGTGTTGTCACGTGGTGGTGTGTATGGTGTGACTGTGAGTCTAGGAACGATGCCACCATTTCAAATATTGGCAGAATCATTTGTGGTCAACAGTGTCAGAGGAGCTTTCAGACTATGACAGACTAGGAAGAAAGTCCTAGTGATCTACTTCTGAAAAAGTTTCCGCAATGAAAACTTCATGGGACACAACAGAATACTGCCCAACTCTCTTGCTTTGGACATAATATCAGAAAGGTTTGGCTGCTGGAGGAGATCATGTGTGGTAAAAGAGGGCCAGTGACAGTGACCTTTGTGAGATGGAAAAGCATGGTCATGCTAAATGATGACTGAAGTATGCTGGTGATGGTGAGGATGCAGGTACAGGCTGTTTTGTTCTACTGAACATCAGGTCTCTATGAGGTGGGAGTCAACTCCATGGTAACCATCTATCTACATATTTAAAATAGCCTGTTATATTTCTGACTGTGTGTGTAGAACTGAGTTTAAGAACAGTAACTGGAATATATAGATGGCTAACAAGAAACACGTGCACACGCACAGACACACACATGCACATGCATGTATACATTCATCAGTATGGGTGATACCCATAGTGTGTAAAATAGTTCTAGAGAAATTAGTTTGTTCTATTCTCAATTTGAAATATTTCCAAGTAGAAATAAGAGTCAACCTTCCCCAGAAACACTATGTACTTAAAATATTCACTGTGAAGGTCTTTCTATAAACAAACAGAAGCAATCTGCAACAACAGTGTCGGGATGATAAAAAATCCAAAAACACCAGGCAAAGCACTAAGCATAAAAACATTTATCGGTCGCCTTTTTCTCTCCAAGGAAAATCATTTAGCGCTAAAGAAGCAATATGGCCATCCCCAAACATAGCTTCAATCTATGATGCACACCCTAGCTTTTAGGTGCACAGATCAGTGGGAGATGCCTAGGACTCTTATTCCATAGGCTACGTCCCATGAAGCAATCTGCACCAATATAGTGCCTAAATCAGAACACTTCCTCAGAGGTGAGTCAACTCACTCCTCTCTATTGTAGGAAGACCTCCTGCACCACAACTTGCAGAGTAGCAGCTGCCTGTTTCATGCATCCGATACTCCTTTTGCATAATATAATTTAAAAAATTATGATTTCCATCCTAGTGAAATGAGTAGTGTCTGGTGTCTTGCAGCAAAAGCTTGCAAGCAGCCATTAAGACACAATCAAGGGTCTTTAATTCCCAGGAGTAAGACAGTAAAAAAAGCTCAGACAAGAAACCAAGAAACCAATCTAAGAGAGCCACCACCTCTTCTGTCCTGAGACCAGGAGTAGATTGGTGGTTGCCAGTCATCACTGACCGTTCTAACAGAATATAGTTGGTACTAGATAGGGTGGAAGAGAATTAAGAATTCAAATGCTCATTTGAAGAAAAAAATAACTAAGGCAAACTGTAGTAGTAGAGAACAGAGGACCCCCTGAGCCACTCTTTAAGCCTAGAGGAAGACTACCCCGAGATCACCATCTAGCACAAAATAAAGGACCTTCCCAGGAAAATCGGTGGCTTTCTTTGGGAAGTCTTAAAAAGTCAATGATTTCTTAAAAGAAAAATGAAAAGATAGAGGGACAGGGAAACAAGAGTATTAGAAAGGGAATAATCAGAACACAACTCAGGAGAACGTTGACATAGTGCATTAAATTTAATCACCAAAAAGTTTGGGCATTTTGTGGCAAAACCATCCAATGGAAACCTAACTTGCTGTGCAAACTTACACTCAAAATGTGGTAAAATATGATTAAAAAAATCCATGTACAAGCTTTCATTTCTCTGGCATATCTATGTAGAAGTGGAAAGACCACATAGTAAACTCTATGTTAAAGCATTCTAAGGAACTGTTCCACTGTTTTCCAAAGTGGTTGTTTCATTTTACATTCCCATCAACAACCTCCCCAAACACTTAAAAAGTTTTGTTAGCACTTCATCCACGTCATACAATTCAATAATTCAATCATATCAAGAGAGTTCTACAATTGTCCCCAAATTCAATTCTAGAACATTTTATCCTTCCTTGTACTTATTGTTATTCATGTAACTATATTTTTTCCTAATTGTGGCAAAAATATACATATTAAAACACTTTCAAATTGCACATCTTCTACTTGTATAATTCAGTGCCATTGACTATACTTTTTATATTGTACAACCATTTGTGATAACCTTTTCCAAATTATTCCACCATCATGACATAGACTCAACTGCCTCCCTAAGTTACCTGACTTATCTTTCTAGGCATCCTCATTCACTGCCGAGACAATTCCAACTCACTGCAACCCTAAAGAACAGAGTCAATGTCCTTGGGGTTTCTGAGGGTGGAAAGCCTTGTGGGAGCAGAAAGTGGCATCTTTCAAGGAATGGCAGGAACTACTATGAGCTATTGACCCTGTAGTTGGTAGCCCAACACATAACCCACATCACCCACTACATTACCAGGGCTTCTTAAAGCCACCCGAGGGCACGGGAAATGGTGTATTGTTGTGGTCAGGCTAATGACATCGAGAATGTCTCTTTCTGCTGCACAATTGTTTCTATTTCTTCCTTAGAAAAATGTCTACTCAAGTCCTTCTCCTTTAATTTTTACCTGGGATTTTTATTAATGAATTGTCAGAGTTCTTTATATGTTCTAGATCTGAGTGTCCCTTACCAGATGAAGAGTTCTAAGTTATCTCCTGCCCCCAATTTTGTGCTGTCTTTTCACTTTCTGTACATGTATTTAGCTTGATAAAATCCAGGATGTTTTCTCTTGTGCTTTTGGGTGCCACATCTAAGAAATCTTTGAATAACCACAGACTCAAAGATTTACTTCTATGCTTGCTTAGAGTATTACAGTTTTAGCTCTTAATTTAGGGTATTTTCAGTTTATTTGTGTGTTTGGTTTAAGGAAGAAGTTATTTTGAGTGTGGATATCCAATTATCCCAAGCCATTATGTTGAAATAATTATTCTTCCACATTGAATTGGCTTGACACCCTTACTGTTGAAAAAAAAAGAAACGAAAATCAATTGGCCATAAATGCTTATGTTTACTTCTGGACTCGATTCCACTCCATTGCTCTGTTTATCCTTATACTGTGCTGACTACTACAGCTTCTAGTAAATTCTGAAGCCACAGTGTGAGCTTTCCAACTGTTTTCTCCCCCGCCCCCCTCCACTTTTTGGGTTATTCTGAGTCCTCTGAACTTTTTAGACTATTGTAGGATCAGACTGCCAATGTCTGCAAGAAAGCCAGCTAGAACTTGGATAAGAATTGCACTGAATCTGTGGACCAATTTGGGAAGTACTGTTACCTTAACAATGAATTTAAGTCTTCCAGATCCAGACATGGCTGTCTTTCCATATGCCTACCTAGAACTTCTGGAATCCATATGCAATGTATGAGAGAGATGGACTTCACGACCCTTCTTCATATCTAAGATATCCTTAGCTTTCCCTACTTGCATAGCTCTGCTACTTATTAAAGCAGAATATATAAATGCTGGAGAACCCTGAGGACTGCAAGGGACCTGAGCTACTCCTACTTATTTGGAATGGCTTTTCCCCTATAAATGACACAGAAGCTAAGTTTTCTCAAGGGTCCTTGATGGAATGTACTAAAAATGATCAATATTAAAACAGATGTTAAAATTACATATAATGTATACAATCCTGTTGATATACAGAACAGTATACATGTAAATACACAGGGAAACGTTTGTAAGAAAAGCCATTAATTTGAGGTAGAAAATAAATGAAGAGGATCAAAGATTTTTATTTACATTTTTGGTCCTTACAAAATGTTCTACTATATTTTGGGTGCAACTTTAATTAAGAACACAAGACTGTGTTCTCAAGCAAACTCCTTCACTGCCATCAGGCCAATTTTGACACAACATAGCTACTCTATAGGACAGGGTAGAAATGCATCTAGAGTTTCCAAGACTGTAACTTAATGAGAGTAAAAAGCCCTGTTTTGTTCCAGAAAACCATGTCCTAAATAAACGTAAGTAAGTAGCAAGAAACATGCCTTCCAATAGTTATAAAGAGCCAAACTGACCTTGAGATCACAGGTGGTATTGAGCAGCAAATTGGAAGGTTTGAGGTCACGGTGAAGGACGTTTGCTGAATGAATATATTTTAACCCTCTGAGGATCTGGTAAAGAAAATAGCAGATGTGGTCGTTGCTGAGGTGTTGTGTCTTCAAGAGCTTGTAGAGATCTGTCTCCATGAGGTCCTGTACTATGTATCTGTTTGTATAGGTTAAGGTAACATACCAAATGGCTGGTTAGCAAAACACTAAAAATAAAACACACCTGTTCTGACCCTCTATGTAACAGGTCTGTTGTTACAGCATGAGGATTGAGAAGGAAATGAGAAACAGAAAACCAGGTATACCTTGGGTTCCTTTTTCAAGGCCTGTGAAAGATGAATTATACCTCCCTGTTCTGGTTGGGTCTCTAGGGTCCCTATACATAGGAACTGACTCAATGACAGTGGGCTGTTTCTTTTGTTGGGGAGGGGATTTGACTGATTTGGACTGAGATCTGAAAACGGACTCTTATGGAAATAGTGGTCAATCTTACCTTGTTGGCCTCCAAGTTATCCAACTTCAATAAGCCCCCATCCCAAGGCTGCTAGAAAAGGCTGAGAAGGGATAGTGTCCAACAAGCATTATAGACTCGATTTCCCCTCCTTTGTCCAGCTTCCTGGGTAAGCAAATGGTTTGTGCTAAGACTATAATCCTAATGGTTGGCAATTTGAACTCACCTAGTGTCCTGCAGATGTTCCTACTATTACAGACAAGAAAGCGCTGGAGTGGTGGTTCTCCACCTACCTAATGCCACGACCCTTTAATACAGTTCCTCAGGTTGTGGTGATTCTCCCAACCATAAAATAATTTTCTTTCTTTCTTTAAAAAAAAATCATTTTATTGGGGACTCATACAACTCTTATCACAATCCATACATACATCCACTGTGTCAAGCACATTTGTACATTTGTTGCCATCATCATTCTCCATAAAATTAAAAAAAAATCATTAGGGGCTCATACAACTCTTTTCACAATCCATACATACATCAATTGTGTAATGCATTTACTGCCTTCATCATTCTCAAAACATTTGCTCTCCACTTAAGCCCCTGGTATCAGCTCATTTTCTCCCGCCCTCATGAAACCTTGATAATTTATAAATTATTATTTTGTCATATCTCACACTGTCCGACATCTCCCTTCACCCACTTTTATGTTGTCCATCCCCCAGGAAGGTGGTTATATGTATATCCTTGTAATTGGTTCCCCCTTTCTTCCCCACTCTCCTGGTATGGCCATTCTCACCACTGGCCCTGAAGGGATTATCCACCCTGGATTCCCTGTGTTTCCAGTTCCTATCTGTACCAGTGTACATCTTCTGGTCTAGCCAGATTTGTAAGGTAGAACTGGGGTCATGATAGTGAGGGTGCGTGGTGGGAGGGCGTGGGGGGGAGAAGCATTTAGGAACTAGAGTAAAGCTGTATGTTTCATCGTTGCTACACTGCATCCTGACTGGCTCGTCTCCTTCCCATGACTCTCCTTAAAGAGGATGTCCAATTGCCTACCGATAGGCTTCGGGTCTCCACTCCTCACTCCCGCTCATTCATAACGATATGTTTTTTTATTCTGATGATGCCTGATACCTGATCCCTTCGACACCTTGTTATCACACAGGCTGGTGGGCTTTGTTGTTTCTCAGCTAGATGACGCTTGTTTACCTTCAAGCCTTTAACACCCCAGACACTATATCTTTTGATAGCTGGGCACCATCAGCTTTCTTCACCACATTCGCTTATGCACCTGCTTTGTCTTCAGCAATTGTGTTGGGAAGGTGAGCATAATGGAATGCCAGGTTAATAGAACAAAGTATTCTTGCATTAAGGAAGTACTTGAGTGGAGGCCCAAAGTCCATCTGCTACCTTAATACTAAACCTATACATATAGGCACACAGATCTATTTCCACATCCTCATATATAAATATATTTACATGCCTTTATTTAGACCTCTATAAATGTCATTTGCTTCCTATCTCTGTCCTCTATTTCCTTTTACTTTCCTCTTGTCCCACTATCATGTTCAGTCTTCATTTGGGTTTCAGTAATTCTTCATGGTTCCATTACCCTTGGTCACGCCCTACCAGGCTTCCTACACCCTCCTCACCACTGATTTGGATCACTTGTTGTTCCCTTTGCCCTGGGTTTGTTAACACCACTTCCTTTCCCCCAACCTCCCCAGAACTGTCGGTCCCATTGTTTTCTCCTCATAAAATTATTTTCGTTGCTACTTCATAACTGTAATTTTTCTACTGTTATGAATTGGGCGACCCCTGTGAAAGGGTCATTCGACCCCCAAAGGGGTTGTGACCCATAGGTTGGGGCCCACTGCTCTAGAGGTTCTGCTCTGTGACACTGGGGGTTGCCATGAGTTACAACTGACTTGATGGTATTGAACAACTCCTTGGTCCAGCATCGTACAATGGCTAACTTTTTTTTTTCTCTCTTGCCTTATCCACTCAAGAATCAACCATAACATTTTTTGCAATCACTGGTCCAAAACACACTGCTGCTAAATCCAAACTTCAGCCTATTTGCTTGACTCTTCAATTAATGCTATGATTCTAAATAAAACGAGATGACAGGGACCAACAGTGTTAGTTTAAGTCTTATTTTCCAGTCTTTTCCATTTATCTAAGCACCTAGACCTTAGCTATGGCCATTTTGTTTCTTATGGAAATTACATTAAAAACGTCTTTAGTGTATAAGGACCCTTGACAGTATAGTGGGGTTACTTGTTGGGCTGCTGACCTCAAGGTCAGTAGTTCAAAATCACCAGTGACTCTCTGTGGGAGAAAGAGGAAGCTTTCTATTCATATACAGTTTCAGAAACCCATAGGGCAGTTCTATTTTGCCCTATACCACGGGTTGGCAGACTGCCATCTGCACATGTAGCTGTGAAGTAAAATTGAAAATTTTAAAAGGATATGTATTCAGATGATTTCATTTGTTTGTAAAAACATATTTATGGCTCTTGAATAATTTTTAAATTGTTGTGAGGACAGGATTGGCTCTTCCATCTCAAAAGTGTGCCCATCCCTACCCTATAGAGTAGCTATGAGTCCATATTGATGCAATGGCAATGAGTTATATTTTAATGCTTAACCTGTTAATATTATTTCATTATAGCAGTATTTTTTCCTTCGTTCATATCTATGTACATATGAGGGGCTTCAAACGTTTGTGGATAAATTCCATTATCTTTCATTTCATTTCCTCACAAACTTTCTGCAGCCCCCTTGTTCCTGAAAGATGAAGTGCATCAGTGAGATTCAAAGGGCCCGCAACATGACAAGCCGGCATCTGAAAGAGGCTTGATTTTCAAGGCAAAAGGTAGAAGCAGGACCAACTGGCAGTAGCAGCAAAAGGCATTTCACTTAAAATATCACAACTTAGTAACAGAGCTGTTTAAAAATGGAAAGAACTGCCTGGAGACAGAGAGCTGTCGCTCCCTGGAGGGGTACATGCAAATTGGGCAGAATGGCTGGAATACTGTACTAGCCTGAACAGACTGACCTATCTCCTCTGCAGCATACTCTCTTCAGAAGATGTAATACCTCCACCTATCAATGCCTTCTCTCTTCCTTTCCCTGCTAGCATCTCCTAGACCAGTGGTTCTCACCCTTCCTAATGCCCAGACCCTTTAATACAGTTCCTCATGTTGTGGTGATGCCCTAACCATAAAATTATTTTCGTTGGTACTTCATAACTATAATTTTGCTACTGTTTAAGTGGAGAGCAAATGTTTTGAGAATGATGAGGGCAATGAATGTACAAATGCGGTTTACATAATTGATGTGTGTATGGATTGTGTTAAGAGTTGTATGAGCCTCTAATAAAACAATTAAAAATATTTTTTTTGCTAATGTTATGAATCGGGCGATACCTGTGAAAAGGTCATTTGACCCCCAAAGCGGTCACAACCCACAGGTTGAGAACTGCTGTACCTAGACCATTTCAGTCACAATCGCTAAATGCTAGCGTTAGTTAAGTCACAGGTTTTCAGGACTTGGTGGGCCTTCAAGGCAGGATAGTCTGGTTCCCTCATTTTAAAGACGACACTAAGTTCTTACAGGATGAGGTGACGTCATTTACCATCAGGGCTGTCTGTATTTAACCAGATGGAGATCCAGGGCACTCTCTGTATTAGTCGTTATCTCAATCCCAACAAACCATACCCTGAATGGGGAGGACGGGACATGAGTGAAATGGTATTAACAAAGATAGTACTACTCTTTAAGGATATCTTTACTGAAAAGGAAATAATAGATCTGACCAATGATGATAAAAATGGTTATAACCAACAGCATGAATCAGAGGAATATTTTTAAAGATGCAGACTACCATTTCCTATTACATGTGCTTCCTGGACTCTGTTCAAACTTCAGAAAAGGTTGCCTGGCATTTATTCAACAAGGTGAACTAGCGGTGACGGCAGTTGCCTGAAAAGGATACACGTCCTTCATCTGATCGATGGTTGGCGCTCGAATAATATCATTGATGCCAATGATGTTCTCATGCCTGAAGCGCAGTAAGATTTTTATCTCCCTCAGGGTTCTCTGGCAGTAGGTCTGATGCTCAAATGGGCTTATTTTCTTGATAGCGACTCGAACTTTGTTGACGTTATCATAAGCAGAGCTAAAAAGGGGACAAGAAAGAGATGGCATTAGAAACAGGTATCCCAATATCTTCGCAGAAGATGCAATCAGTGAAGTAGTATAGTTTAACACTCTGTGTACTACTTGCAACACACCTAAGAAGCAATACTTATAATTTATCAAGGGGTCACAAGGGTGGAAGAGTGAGGGAGGGAGGGGGGAAAAAGAGGAGCTGATATCAAGAGCTCAAGTAGAAAGAAAATGTTTTGAGAATAATGATGGCAACATATGTTCAAATATGCTTGATGGACTAGATGTATGGATTGTTATAATAGCTGTAAGAGCCCCAATAAAATGATTAAAAATAATAATAAAAGAACTCCATAGGGATTCCAAAACTGTTAACTCTCATCTTCTCTTGAGCAGGCGCTAGCATGTTTAAATCGTCAACCTTTTTGGTCATCAACCCAACACCTAACCCACTCTGTCACACTCCTTTTGTAGGTGATGGAAATAAGTAAGTCACTCACTCCTTTTAAGTCAGGCATCTGAGACCATCTCCCATCCATTCCCACTTGAAAAGAAAGAGTGGTTCTCTCAGTGGAAGGGTGGACCAGGATCTGTCGACCTAAGCATTTTAGAGGTTGCAATCTGGTACCAACAACTTTGTATCTGCAGACTTCTCTTTGAGATTTTCCTTTAAAAATGTGATTTGTCACTATCCTTTAGCTTGACACATATAATTTATTGGAATATCTTATTTACTTCTATTGGCCATACACCCCCCCCATTTTCTTTAACTGTACCTCATAAACAATATGGTTCCAACTTGAGATCTTAATCCAATTTTTGACAATATACAGCCCTCGGATGGATTAATTTTAGGATATTTACATGTTTTTCCTTCAACAGATATACCTTGCTCTTTTTGGAAACAAAAACTCAAAGGTGAAATAATTTGCTCCAGTTTAAAAGATACTGAATGCAAGCAATTTCATGTCCTGAATACATTCTATCCTCAGAACTACAGATCAGGAATAAGCTGCCTGTAAGAGGTGCCTGTTGGTTTCATGCTGCATATGTCAAAACCTGTTGAACTGTACACTTTACATTATTTGCAGCTTACTGCACAAGTTATTTCTCAATAAAGTGGTTAAACAAAAATTTAAACAAAAAAAAAAAACCAGGGCTCTCTGGCTATGTCTTGGTCCCAGGACCAATGTGGTGAGAATATATTCCAGAAATGTAATGACCAGTGAATGTAGACAAAGGTTCATATGATTCCGGAGTAATGATTTAGCAGCTGTTTTGTGATCTTTTGTGAAGGAAAAGGGAACCAGCATGAGTTGATTATGGACAAGTCATGCTATACTAAATTCATTTCCTGTTTTCATAAGGTTTCTACAACATCAGGGTGATGCCAGAGCCGTGGTAAAGTTAAGACATTCATCAAGTACAACCCACTGTGTGCTTTCAGTTAGGACTGGTGGTAAAAACAAAACATGATCCTGAGTCTAAAGGAGCTCCCAATTACGTGAGGGCAGCAGACTAAAAGGAACAATGTACACTGCCTTTTAATCTACCTAGTAAAGCACTTCTGAAACACAGAGAGGTTGGGTATATTAAACCCAAAAATAGATATAAAAAAGAGGAAGAAAAGATGAGGCCTGCGAACCAAGCAGTCCATGAAAAGAGCATTTTCAGAAAGCAGCAACTGTGGGAGGTAAGGCACGGGAGGATGAATACAAGTTCATATGGCTGGACCTTCATCACACTGAGAAACCCACCTTCATTCCGGTAGGTGAAAGAAGCCCTGGAGTCACGAGTGCTCCAGTCATAGATACAAGTATTACACTGCTGTCTCGTGCTGCCCAGCTGCCATCACGTCACCCCCACCTCATTGGGAACCACCCACAATAACAGTAAATGTTGTCTGGTCCTGCACCATCCCTAGGATGGATTGAGGATCTGATTATTGTGATCCACAGGGCTTTCACTAGCTGATTAATTGTTCACAAGTAGATTGCCAGACCTTTCTTCCTAGTCAGTCCTATGTCTGGAAAGTCTACTGAAACCTTTTCAATATCACAGCACGGGCAAAGCCTCCCCTGACAGATGGTGGGGTGGAGATGAGGGGGCAGCCGGCTGCTGTGTGAGCAGAACTGGTCAGAGAACTAAGCCTGGGACTGTGCTTGCTCTGTTGAGTTATGGCAGAGCAGTAAACACATCACAGATTGCTTTTCTCTTTCTATATAATCTGCATTTTAATAACATGAACTTTCTTTTGTCATATTTTCCCTTTAACAACATTAAACTGAGGAGTCAAGATTTCACCAATTGCCTAAGGGCAGACATGTAGCACACATACAAAAAGATTTAGGAGCTTTTGTTCTAAGAGTAAACTATGACTTAGGGAGAAATAGCAGAGCCCCAGAATAAGGACAGCAGCTTATATTCAAGAGAAAGTGAGGCCAGCTTGGAATGTTACTGAAAGTCTACAGAGTAGTTCAAAATGTATTAAATGTTAATTTTTTTCTTTATCAACTATTGTCTACATTTTATAAGGCACAATGGACAGTGCAGTGCCCTCAAAAACATTCTAATGCATGGCGTGGACTCAAAGACACACGCGTTGTCATTAGGTACCATGTAGCTGGCTCAGCCTTATAGCAAACAGCATGCTGTTTAGTCCTGCACTATCTTCAAGATTGTTGCTACGTTCGAGTCCATTGCTTTGCCTCCTGCATCATTCTATCTCACTGAGAATGTATTATATAAATTATGATGGATGTGGAGGAAACCCGCTAATGCAGTGGTTCTCAACCTTCCTAATGCTGCAACCCTTTAATAGTTCCTCATGTTGTGGTGACTCCCAACCACAAAATTATTTTCGCTACTTCATAACTGTATTTTTGCCACTGTTATAAATCGTCATGTAAATAAATATCTGATATGCAGGATGTATTTTCATTGTTACAAATTGAACATAATTAAAACAGTGATTAATCACAAAAACAATATGTAATTACATATTGTGAAATATTTGTTTCACAAAGACAAATAAATGAAAATTTGTCTTGAAGCATGGAGTAGCATGTGTAACAGTCTTAAGATAACAGTGAACCACATTGCTACATTTTGTGACAGTATGCGTAAAAAAGCTAACATCATGCGAAAGTTGAGATGGCTTCTTTCTCACCAGATTAGTATATCTGCACGTGGGTGACCACCTGAAGAGGCATAGAGGGGCAGGAGTTGTGTCTCGGTTCCTAAGACCATCGAAAATCCTGTATATACATACAATGCAGTACTACGCATCGCTAAAAAGCAGTGATGAACATGTGAAGCACATCGCTGCATGGGAAGAGCTAGAGGAAATCATGTTAAGTGAAGTAAGCCAGGCACAAAAGGACAAGTACAACATAAGTCCGCTGAGGTTAAGCGTTAAAAAAAAAATGCAAAAGGGGCATAGGGAAAAAGCTACTGT